CTCACGCAAGTCTCTGACGCTGCAAGTTCCCGCCATCCTCTCCTGCTGTGCACACAGCCTCCTGCTGATCGGTTGTTATGGCGTCACAACCATTTGCATATTAGCTCTTTATTATATAGATAACATTGGCAAATGTGCATCTCCCGTGGAGTGGTCTTTCTTGTTGCTTTGTTGATGGTTTCTTTTGCTGTGCAGAAGCTTTTTTTTTGAAGAATAGGTTTTCTGCTTATATTTCATCTGGACAAATATTAAAATGGCTTTCATTTCCTATTCCAGTCACACTAGTTGAGATAGTAGGGAAAAGGCACCCTGGAAAGTGGCAGGAATCTAGCACAAGGTGAATTAAGTGGTTAAGAACAGGATTTTGAATTAAGAGAATTCCAGGCCTACCACTAACAAGTTATATAATCTTCAGTTTTATTATCTATAAAATGGAGATAATAATATACACTTCTCAGGGTTGTTATACAGGTTATAAGATATAATGTATGTAAAATATTTTCATGGTGCCTTGTACAGAATAAGAATTTATAAATTTTAGCACAGGTTTATTGTTATTATTATTAATGTTGCCCTACAGAAAGAAAAAATTTTTGAAGTGTATATTTAACATTTAAACCTAGAGAAAATAAATGGAAAACAGGAAATTAAATCATCATTTTCTAGTCATCATCATCAATAGCTCATTATTCCACTGCCTAGAGCAGTGGTTCTCAACCTTCTGGCCCTTTAAATACAGTTCCTCATGTTGTGACCCAACCATAAAATTATTTTCATTGCTACTTCGTAATTGTAATGTTGCTACTATTATGACTTGTAATGTAAATATCTGATATGCAGGATGGTCTTAGGCGACCCCTGTGAAAGGGTCGTTCGACCACCAAAGGGGTCGCGACCCACAGGTTGAGAACCGCTGGCCTAGAGTCTATTTTCCCTTTAGTTCTCTGTCTCTTCATTCCACTGCACTTAAAGTATCAAGCTTACTAATAAGACTCATCACATCTGCTCCCTTTGTTCCACCTCTTACCCTTGGCACAACAGCATACTCAAGTTTTCCCCATCCTTAAAACCTTTCTCAGCCAAATGACTCTTTTTTTAGTTCTACTTTGCTTTCCTATCAAAGTTGCTTGGCAAAATACTTTATAATGACTTGCCATTCCTTCCTCAAGTCCATATTCAGTTCTAAGCCTGTAACACTCTAGCTTCTATCACCTTTTCATTGAGTGGCCGGTCACAACATGGCCAATAAGATTACTCATTAGCTCAATCTACTCAAGACTTATGAGTTTTTATTTGCTTTCACTTTCTCTAGAGCATTAGACACTGTTAACAGTTCTTTCTTTCAGATTCTCTCTGGCTCCCAGAACTTTTTAACATTTTCTTAGCATTCTTCTTACTTTTAGCTGCTTCTTGTCCATCTTTTTCACTAGTGCATTTTACTCTCCTGTTCACTTATATTTTACTGCTCCCTAAGATTTTCACACCAAACTCTTCCCTTCCCAATTCCATACAATCTTCCTGGATGATCTAAATACCCCTATCATAGCCCTGACCAGTTTGGCTCAGTGGATAGAGCATCGGCCTGTGGACCAAAGGGTCCCGGGTTTGATTCCAGTCAAGGGCATGTACCTTGGTTGCGGGCATATCCCCAGTGGGGGGTATGCAGGAGGCAGCTGATCGATGTTCCTCTCTCATCGATGTTTCTAACTCTTATCCCTCTCCCTTCCTCGCTGTAAAATATCAATAATATATATTAAATAAATAAATACCCCTATCATAAACTACCACCTACATGCTAATGAAATTTAAAACCCATATCTCCCTTAATTATAGATCTTGATTACACACATTTTTGTTCAAATATCCCATAGGCATTTTAATTCAGCATCTTTAAAATCTCCCCCTTTTTCAATGTTTTAAAACTACACAGGCTCCATAAAAGTCTGATATATTTCAATAGGAGAACATTCTTCAAATTAGTTACCAGTTAAAAATTATTTGTATTACTGTGTCAAGAAAAATAATTTGGCAGAAGGATGGATAAAGAATTCAGGGGAAATGCTATAGAGCAGCCATTCTCTAAGTGTGATATGTAGACCTATGAGGGTTCCTGAGACTTCCCAGGGGGTTTATGAGGTCAAAACTATTTTCAAAATATTAAGCCTTCATTTGTTTTTTTGGTTAAAACTGCTGGTGCTTTAGCATGAATCATGGCAGTGGCCCTAAAATTATACTAGTAGACTGCATTCTTCATTACTCTATATTCAAAGTTAAAAAAAAAACAAATGCCAGTTTCATTTAAGAATACCCTTGACGGAGTAATAAAAATTATTAATTATTGATCAAGTATTAATGAAATGGGAAGTAAGTACAATACAATGAACTGCTGCACACTAAACAAAGCATGATGGTTATCTCAAGGAAAACGCACAGGCTCTTGTTCAAATACAAGCAGCCTCACTTGCTTTTATCATGGAACACCTTTTTTTTTCAAAGAGTGACTGCAAACAATGATTATTCAGACTTGGTTAAAAGGTAGACTACTTTTGAAAATGAATGAAATAAACCTGGCATGTCAAGGAAAAAAGTTGGGGGTATTTATTGCCAATGACAAAATTCAAGCCTTCAGATAAAACTTAGAATTTTAAAAGATTCTTATCTGTTTGACAGCTTCCCAGTATCAGAAACTTTCCTGATGAGACTGGTAATGATATTAATTAATGTGAATTTTTACTATATTTGTGTGTAGTGAAATATGTTAACATGGGAAGATCTAAACAATCCAGTGAACCAATATTTTCAACCTGATGTTAAAAAACCAGACAGGAGTAAAAGAGCTATTAAAAGTGCAACACAGACCCAGGGATTTTAATGTAAGAGTAAAAAAAGTCCGTTAGTATGGTTTTAGATTTTACACTGCAATTAACCATTAAGAAAATACTATTTATTGAGTTTTGATGTATATCAAAAGAATATCCAAACCTATCTGAATATACCTCTTTTCCATCTACACATGTGTGAGGACAGATTTTCTTTATATACATTGACCAAAACAATAAATTATAACATACTGAATGCATAAGTAGATAAGAGAATTTGCAAAAAAGCAAAACATACCACTCTTCTAATTTATTAATGGAGGTAGTTATTGTTCATAGTAAACATTATGTTAACATACAATGCGTTTATTATCAAAGTGAATAAACAAATCTTAATTTTTTCAGTGTTAATTTTTAATATAGTATATAGATGATAGATATCACCCATATAAACAGAAGCTCTTTGGACTCCTCAAGAATTTCTAAGAGTCTAAAGGGATCTTGAAACTAAAAGTTAGAGAAGTGCTAATTGCAGAGTTCCCTTTTCACATAACAGGAATTTCTTCATTTTAGTTATGAATAGGTTCCCTGGAAAGTTGGATATAATTTATCTTATACAGTCATATGTAACTTAACAAGGGGACATACAGTCTGAGAAATGCATCATTAGGTGATTTCACCCTTGTGAGAACATCATAGAGTGCACTTACACAAACCTAGATTGTATAGCCTACTACACACCTAGGTTATATGGTATATAGTCTACTGCTCCTAGGCTTCAGAATGTTACTGCACTGTATACTACAGGCAATTGCAACACAATGGTACATATTTATATATCTAAAAATAGAAAGGTGCATTAAAAATACGGTATAAAAGATAAAGTTGTGCACCTGTGTGTGCATGCATTGGGGGATATTGGGAGGGCTATGGAGGGAGGTACCTTTGGAGAATGGATATCAGGAGGTAGGAGGGGTGAGGGGTGGAGAAGGAAGAGAAGGGGAAAGTGAGAGTGGAGATACAAAGAAACCCAGAGAGATAAAGCTTGAGATGAGAAATAACAAAAGGGAGAAGAAGAGAGGAGTAGAGGGAGGAAAAGGACTGGGAGGAAAGAGAGAAAGAGAAATGGAGGGAAGGGAAATGAGTATTTTTGTGTGTGATGTGCAACTGCACACATGTGTGGACACAGCAGTGGACAGCATGCTGAGCCTCCTCATCTATTTAAATCACCCAGAGCCAGCAGTAAATTTGGCATTGTAGTTGGGTCCAGCTATTCCTTTCAACATTGCAAACAAACTTTTTTCTAATAATTCATTATAATTTTATGGGACCACCTTCATACATGTGGTTCTTCACTGATCAAAACGTAGTTATGCGGCATGTGGCTATATTACTCTGGTTAGAGTGCATAGCTTACTTAGATACAGTACTATATGATGTTTTAAATTGCATGTATTCTGATGCATTAGAACCAGTTTAATTATCTCTGGGGATCATAATGACAGAAGACAGGATCATTTATCTGAGAGCCATGCTGTTAATCCTCATCAAAATACAATTTTCCACTACATTTGTAAGCAGAACATGAAGCTGATGAAATGTTAAAGAAAGAAATCTGAGGCAAACTTTACTTATACATCAGCTTCACAGATTATATTTCTCTGCTTATTACCAAACTTAGGAAAATGATAAGTAACATTTATTGAGTGGCCCTGTTCTAAGCATCTAAACTAATAAAAGGGTAATATGCTAATTAGGGCAGATGTCTTCCAGACATCCATCCAGACAAAGCCACAGCGGCTGCGAGGCCTGGGGCACACGCCAGCCATGGACTCAGGCAGCCATGAGCTCCGGTGGCTGCGAGGCCCAGGGCTCAGGCCTCACAGCCGCTGCAGCTGGCAGTGGTAGCAGCAGCAGGGTGATGGGGGTGGCACCTTCTCCTGATCAGCCCAGTCGCCTCCCACAGAGGGAGGCTAGACTGGGGCTTAGGCCTGCTCCCCCTGGACATCCCCTGAGGGCTCCCAGACTATGAGAGGGGGTAGGCCGGGCTGAGGGACCCCCCCAAGTGCACAAATTTTCGTGCACCAGGCCTCTAGTTTTATATATATTAAGCCATTTAACAATAAACTGACAATAATTTATGAAGTCCTTACTATTATCACCATTTTACAGATTACAAAACTGAGGCACAGGGAGGTTACCAGTTAACTAAATCAACAATAAGTAGCAGGAATGATATTCTAGGGTGGGTAATACTAATTTCCCTTTCATTTAAGCTCTTGGCATAGGTGCTTCAAAGCATCTGGCTAGACTGTTAAGGAGGTAGGGAAGCATAAAATAAATTGAGAGGTTTTCAAACTATCTAAGGACTTTAACATTTTTTTCCTTGATTTTTGGACAGAGGCATTTCTTTTTTATATGCCTACAAAATATGAAAAGGCTGCAGTTAATTTAAAAATGACTTTATTAACATATTAATCACCCAACCTGAAACCTGTTTTACTGGTGCTTGATTTGACAAGAACTACCTGGCAGGAGTGCATAGGAGAATCCTAGGTAGGCTAATAAGGTACCATAGAAAACAATAATTCGATCTTTCAAATTTAAATCTTACCATAAACTTCTCAAGGCTAGTCTGTGGTGAGTATAGAAAATGGTTCCTGTGATAGGAGTTAGCTAAGACAGGCTGAGGAAGTTGAAAAAATATCAAGTAAATCCCTGGGAAGAGGAGAGGTTTCAGTTTTCACATAGAAACCAAGGTCAACAGTAGCAAACCTGGTAGAACCCAGATAATACTTCCTAATACAATACAATACTTTGGAATGTGAGCTCTGACCCTTGCCAATTAGTTTACCTGCATCAACTGTACTGATTTGATCCTACGTAATTAGACTCTGAGTAGAGTTTAGCCTACGTTTTAAAATAAACAACTTGATAGCCTTATTAATTCTGACTTTCTTTTAAGCAGTATTTTTTCCTCCTCTAAACGAAATCTTGCTTCATACTCTGGTTTGGAAAACAGATAAGAAAATGACTCAAAATGAAACCAGAGTGACAGAAATAAGATCAGTGTTACCTACAGATTGGAGGGAGGGGGTGGTGGTGGGAGGATAAGGAGGCAAAAAGAGAAAGGCAGGAGGGATTTCAAGGAGAAATGAGGTAAGTTTTGGGGGTGATGGATATATTCATTATCTTGATTGTGGTAATGGTTTCATGGATACACACACATGCCAAGGCTAACAATATTATTTATTTTAAATATGTGGTTTATTACATGTCAATTATACCCCAATAAGTATTTGCTCATATTCTTGGCTTTCTTACCCAACATGGTATTTCCCCAGCTCCCTAAACTTGGTACCCAGCACTCCATGAAAAGGAGCAGTTTGAAAACTTCTGATTTTTAATATTTCCTTAAATAATGACATGCTTCATTTAGGTCATCAACCAGCATATTTATGTGTCTCCAGAGAAAACATGGTATTGTACTACTCATTATATTGATCTTCATTTTGTTTATAAACCTCATTAGAGCAAAGTTAATGGATGTGGCAAAGTATAAATCTTGGCAAGTTAATAGGAAGAAGAATAAACGTGAGAAGCAAAATAAGTTTTCCACTAGTAATATATACCCAACCATGCCTAGCAGAAGCATTTAACTTTGAATTTATTAAAAAGGAATTTTAAACATCCATATTCTTATAGATTTTCAAGGTTATTTGCTCGTTACAAAAATTCAGAGAAAGCATAAAAATAGATGCTTAAAAATTCTTGGGATATAAGAAATTGTTGATATTCAGGTGTAGGCTTGAGATGTACATGAGATGTAATATAAATTAAAATACTAAGAAAACGCATTTACATATACCTGCTCTGTCCCCTAAAGTACCTTACATTAAGCTAAAAATAACACTAATTGCTAAATTAAATAATTTCACAAAAGTAATAGATGGAAAAATGTTAAAATAAGGAAAATAAAATTCTTCCTTAGTAGTGAAGTGCAATAACTCTGTAACCAATAAAATAATCCATATAATTAAATATTAAAAGCAAACAATTTTTTTTGTCAAATCAGAGTGCTATCATGCAGTAAGAAATATAATGCATACTCACGACTCCCAACATCCTCTACAGAAATCATGTCCACAGGGCATATCCACCGGGTCTTCAAATACAGAAATACTGCACATACAAATGTCACACTGGAGATGAAGAAGAGCAATGATTTAAACAAAGTCATATGTTGAAAAGAGTGCAATACATTCATCTGTCCATTAGTTTAAGGCAAAAATACTAATACAGTTATTATAAAAAGTTAAGTGTTTCAAAATTATAAGGTAAGTTAAAATTAGTGTGCCTACCTTTGATTGAATAACAAATACGCTTACCTCATTATAAATGATTGTGAGATTTACTCTTACACTCCAAATTTATATATTAAATTAATCAGTGACTACACACATTTGGAAAAGGAAGTACAAGAAAAAAATCATTACAATCTATTCAGGTCAAGATCAAATTGTCCATTTCAAAATAACTACTTCAATATCATGTCTTTTACCCTATATTCACCCCAGAAAATCTACAAAAACAGAGTAACTGTTTTTTCAATATAGCAACTCAGGATATTCAGAGTAGCAAGTCAAGGATTTCTACCCAAGGAACTCTGCTATAAAACTATGTATTTTCTAAACAATGACTTATTAGAAACAAACATTATAATGTTACAGATGTAAATTATAGAAGTAGAATTCTGTTTTCTAAGAAGGCCTAGATAAAACCTGGAATACTTTCATTTATCACAAATTTTGAGGGCTGACTCATTCAAGAAACTTTAAAATTTCCTATAACAGTATACGAATGTTATGCCAGTGAAAAATGCAGACACAGGCAGTACTGTTTCTCAGTAACATTTTTATGGAAGTTTATCTAGATAACAAACTACAAAAGCTTTACTAAAACAAACACATAATTATCAATGTAGTATAAATGTTTTGAAGAAAATATAAAATATGTTTTCATATTTTTGGTGTAAAGTGCCTATCACAATCTCAACTTTTAATATTTCAGTATGGTGTGTTTAAAAACTTTAAGCAACTGGAGTTTTTAAGTGGAAATATAGTAGGTGGTTTTCCTACACTCTTCTATGTTTTTTGTTTTGAAATGAGTAAAGAAAACCTTTATTTTTCAGTCTGTAATTCAGAGATCAAAAAAATATTCTGTGATAAAAAATATTTACCACATTGTGAAATAATGGAACCCTTTAAGAAAGGTATAGGATTCAATGACCAGAACATGATAGAGGGTCTATGAAACAATTAAAAAGGTAAACACAAAACTATGGGAAGTACACTGAATACCAATCCATACCAAACTGGTGTCCAGATCCCCAGGAGACAAACTTATTTCATCTGGAGAGGTGACGGAAGAGCGTGTAGTCCTTGGAGTTCTTGGAGAAGGGAGCGTGTCCCAGGCATTACACCCACTTGGTGGTGGAGTTGGCATTTGCACACCTGATCGTTGGCAGCAATTCTCTGGGTTGGACATCCAAGCTTCAAGTAATTTCTCCCTGTCCCAGTCTTTAAGAAAAATGGAATGATTATCTCTCAAAAACAAACAAACAAACAAAAAAACACAGAAAATTATGGTGTTTTAAGAACTTCATAATAACAAAGGAAAGTGAGGATAAATTAAAGAGATATTTCCTGTGGCCATCCAAGGAAAAAAATACTTATATAAAGTAGTAATTGCAAATAGAATATTTAGGTATGCTAACTCATCAATATTTTTAAACAGAATTTAAACTTTTATAATCTACCATGGATTACAACCATGTCTACAATACAGTCAACATTTCTAGTCATTTCTACTAATAATCAAAAGAAGTGGCTCACCTCTTTTGGAATTTACTAAATTCTTGTTGCAAGTTAGCTGTTTTACTCTTTCAAGAAAAATACCTAATTTTGCAATTAGCTTCACTGGTACCAAGTTGTAAAATTATTGCATAGCTCACTATAAACATGTCAAAAATGCCAACAATACTTAAAAATCATTTAATAAAAAGCTTAAGCCCTAACTGGTTTGGTTCAGTGGATAGAGCGTCGGCCTGCGGACTCAAGGGTCCCAGGTTCGATTCCGGTCAAGGGCATGTACCTTGGTTGTGGGCACATCCCCAGTGGGGAGTGTGCAGGAGGCAGCTGATCGATGTTTCTCTCTCATCGATGTTTCTAACTCTCTATCCCTCTCCCTTCCTCTCTGTAAAAAATCAATAAAATATATTTAAAAAAAAAAAGCTTAAAAGCAGAAGGAACTTCTGAAGGGATTATGGCTATAAATAAAGTTTTAGTGAGTTAGGTATAAATTCTGTAGTAAGTGAGCTCCAATCTGGCTTACCTAAAAAATATTATCTTCATACTTACTACGAAAATTTAAAAAATAACCAAGTGAAGCATGTTATTATAAACTCCAGAGCCATGAACTCCTAATCCTTTAAAATAATAAACTAATATATCCAATTATTTTGCTAGGTATTTTACACACATTATTTCATTTATTCTTCACAACAAACTTTTCAACCATTATTGAGGTGAAGAAACGAACACTCGGGGAAGTTATATAACCTACCCAGGCTCACAAAGATAGTGAGGGATTATTTAACTGATTTCTGTGACTCCAAAGTGCAGCACAATCAAGCGTAGGGTCAAGAGTGGTACAGACTCAATTATTTACTGTAGGCTCATTCTCTATAATTTTACAGTCAAAATATAAATTAGCTGTGGAAATTTTCTATATAAGATTGTTTTCAACCATGTTAAGTCAATGTATATGGTGGTTTAAACAGGATAATTATGACTCAGACATGCAATGAAGATAGAGTGAATGCATTTCTATCTGTATAAACCATATGTGCAAAGGCACAGAAGTATAACAAAGACAGATGTGCGGTTCTGTAAAATTATAGTATATCATGTGGTGGCCAGGGGAGATGAAAAATAACACTAGAAAAAGGGACCAGAGTACAAAGAGTAAGAAAAATCCAACAACTGAAAAATATTGCACATGAGTACAATCCAGGAAATGTTGCTAAATGGACCTCAGTGTTTTGATAGGTCTTACTTAAAAAGTTAAAATTACTTTTCTTAGGAGAGTATGATTACTTTTCAAAAGTCTCTATTATGTCACTTTAATAAAGGAAAAAAGAACTACTATAATTCATACATAGAGATATGAAATATGGTAAACTTTAGTCTTATCTACTACAAATATTTTTCAGAAAAATTTCTGTTTGGATTCTATCACATCATTTATGTAGCAAATACTTATTGAATGCCTTTTATGTGCCATGCATTGTGTCAGGCAGTAGAAATACAATGGAAGGAAAAACCAGGCACAATTCCTGCCTTCATGGAACTTATAGTTTAATAAGGAGAAAGACATTAAGGAAAATCAACACATTTAATAAACAATCATCAATGTCAGAAGAGACATGAAGGAGAGAGAGGTAGAGGATCCCAGTCAGGGAGGTCAGAGAAGGTGACTGGGAAAATGGCCTGGAGAGACAGCTGAAGGACAAGAATGATTTACCTAGGTAAAAGGTAGAGGGAAGACAGAGAATCAGGCAGAGGTGGAAGAGCATGATTTTTAGTTTTAGACATGATGAGTTTAAGACGTTTTTGAGATATCCTTAGATCTGTTTGTTTATTTGTTTACTAGAGGCCTGGTGCACGAAATTTGTGCACTTGTGGGGTGGCGGGGGGGAGGGGGTGGTCCCTCGGCCCAGCCTACGTCCTCTCACAGTGTGGGAGCCCTCAGGGGATATTTGACTGACGGCTTAGGCCTGCTCCCCAGCCATCAGTCGGACATCCTTAGCGCTGCCGCGGAGGCGGGAGAGGCTCCCGCCACCACTGCTGCACTCACCAGCCATGAGCCCAGCTTCTGGCTGAGCAGCGCTCCCTCTGTGGGAGCACACTGACCACCAGGAGGCAGCTCCTGTATTGAGTGTCTGCCCTTGGTGGTCAGTGCGCATCATAGCGCTGGTTGTTCCACCGAAACCGGCTCTCTGACATCCCCCGAGGGGTCCCAGATTGCGAGAGGTCACAGGCCATGCTGGGACCCCACCGGTGGACTACTGGGGCCGGGAGGGACATGGGAGGTTAGCCAGCTGGGGAGGAACCGTGGGAGGGCTCCAGGGCATGTCCGGCCCGTCTCAGTCCCGATGGCACGGACCCTAGCAGCAAGCTAACCTACTGGTCAGAGCGTCTGTCCCCTGGTGGTCAGTGCAAGCCATAGCGACTGGTCGACTGGTCAATTGTCTGCCCCCTAGTGGTCAGTGCATGTCATAGTGAACAGCTGTGTGGCCTTAGCATATCATTAGCATATTATGCTTTTATTGGTTGAATGGACAACTGGATGACCAGAACTTAGCATATTAGGCTTTTATTACATAGGATTTATTATTTTAAAATTAAATTTATTGAGGTGACATCAGTTAATAAAATCATATAGGTTTCGAGTGTACAACTGTATAACACACCATCTGTATATTGCAATTTGTGCTCAACACCCTAAGCCAAATCTTCCATGCTTTTAAATAGGCAGTTATATATAAGAGTATGAGTGTATAAAAGAGGTCTAGTCCAGAGGGAGAAATCTATACCTATAGAAGCCTTGGGAGAAGATATCATTCTGCAAGAAGGGAGCAGAGTGAGAAGATGTGGACTACCAACATTTAATTGCCTATAAAAGATGATAAGCCTCCAACAACAGAACTTAAAAAGTACTTCAATATAAATTTACTCTAGGCCCAAGCAAAATTAACCTTGGTCTCATATTTTGTAAATTATACTTATTTTCTTATTAGATAGTATTCCATTATATAAGCTACTTTTATTACTGAAGAAATTCTCAGAGAATGACCTTTTGTATTCTTAACAGAGTCCTCCTTAAAATTCAATTACTACTTAGCAAATACTGCCAAACATGTTTGTCTTCTGCTTAATCAAGATCAACTTCATTACGTTGGGACTAAATTTGACAATAGATAATATAATGTTCAAATCTATTTTCCTGTGTAAAGCTGAATGAATGTAACCAAGGTTACAATCTATGAATCTTCCAAACAGTTCAGTTCAATAGCCTGAAACAGAGCCTGTCCTGGTTTTGAGAGTAATTAGAGTAAATTGTAGTTCTGTACACTGTCCACTTTATTCACTAACATCACTTATCTCTGTACTTCTTAATTACCAAATGCCACTGACATTACCTAAACAATATAGAAGAGCTGTCCATTTGAAACCTGCATTAGCCTTTGTTTGATGCCTTAACAGAGGAAAAACATGAAACTCTATCAAAAAAGTTATCACAGAATAGACAAATTATAGGTAGGAAATTAGACATCACTTTATTAAAATTGATCTCTACTATATGAAAGAAGTAATTTAGAGAGATATCAATGAAGTAAAAATGGAGTTGATCATTTATTTAATAATACTTGATGATATATGTAAGCAAATAGAGATGAAAATGTTTCTTTTAATTACAATAAAATTACTTGTAAAGTTAACCTTAGATTCTATATAATATTGTAACTTATATTATGATACCTTATATTAACTTATGATACCTTATATTAACTTATGTTGTGATACATTATATTATTTAGCTGAATTAGATACCTGGGGCAGAAATGGGTATGGTACACAAAAGTGCTACAGTATAGAACAGAAATGTTGCTTACAGTTAAGTGTGGCCATGTATCTGAATTCTGGCCAATGAAATATGTGGAAGCAGTGTCCTATGTCAGGAGTATTACAGGACTGGCTCAAAAATTTCCTACATTTATTTCTCCATGCTCTTTCCCCTTTCTGACTGTCTGGCTGGAATGGAAATAATTCCCAGAATAAACCTTAGATATCCACTTTGTATAAGATGGCAAAGTCTCAATCAATTAGGGTTCTTGAATAAATGTGTGAACAGAATCCCTTTCCCACTTCTAACCATAAAGAGAAATACTTTTGACTATTACATGATTAATAAATGTTTACTGTGTTTGAATTTACACTTTTCTTTCAACAGTTAGTCTACCCTAATACAACTGTTATGTCATGGCTCCCCACTAATGGACAGCTTCTACTTTTCTGCCAGATTTACAGTATATTTAAATGTACTTTCTGTAATTAAAAGCTCAAAGATATACCTTCTTGTGCTGGGAAACTTATCCTAAAGAAACACAATTTAAGGCAGCCGGTGCTTCTGTACAAGTTTTTATATAAAAACTGCTAAGCATTATGACTGGCTAAAAAGAAAATATTTTATCTTTAAATTTTATTATTTAAAAGCTATTCTGAATTTCATGTTTGACCCTGGTTTAAATTTGTTTCCAAAGGATTTACTTAAAGTTTAGAAAGATGGCAATGAAGAAATGTAATTTTATAATAAAAAGGTGAATTTAAAAATATATATAAATAACACTTCAGCTATATTATCTATTTATTCTATTACTATTTCTGCAGACTTAATCTATGTCAGATATTATAGAAATGAACAAACAAAAACAATAAAAGCTGCCCTCTAAGAGCTCCCAGGTTAATACAGAGGAAAAGCAAATAGATTATCACAATATTCAATTCTAAGTGTATGAATCAGGAGGTCATCATTGATCTCTCTCTCCCTCTCCCTTCCTCTCTGAAATAAAAAGACATTAAAAATAAAAAGAAGCGGGGAGATTGACAGCCTTGGTAAAGCAGCCTGGGTCATAGAGATCTACCAGAGCAGCAGCTCTCAACCTGTGGATCACAACCCCTTTGGGGGTCGAACGACCCTTTCACAGGGGTCACCTAAGACCATCAGAAAACACATATATAATTACATAATGTTTTTGTGATTAATCACTATGCTTTAATTATGTTCAATTTGTAATAATGAAAATACATCCTGCATATCAGATATTTACATTACAATTCATAACAGTAGCAAAATTACAGTTATGAAGTAGCAACAAAAATAATTTTATGGTTGGGGGTCACCACAACATGAGGAACTGTATTAAAGGGTCACAGCATTAGGAAGGTTGAGAACCACTGTACTAGAGAGTTTGGATGATCATAAGTCTGGAGAGCCAGTGAAGGGTTTTTCAGCAGGGGAGTAAGATGCTTAAATGTGCATTAAAAAAAAAGTCTAATGGCAAAGGAAAAATTAACAGGATGAAAGAGGAAAGGAAACACTGGAAACTAGGACTTGGGAGACTACAGTTAAATGAAAAATAATGACAGCCTGAATTTAAGTTGATGGCAAAGGGAATAGAAACAGCTAGGGAGGGTGGGAGGAGGATCAGAGATATTTAGGAAGAGAAATAAGACTGTGGCCAAATATAATAGAAATGGAGGAGTCAAATATGACTTTCAAGTTTTTGGCTACAGTAATTAGATAAATGCTGGTGCCCATGTATTAAGACAGTGTGAAAATGAGTTCAGGGTAAACATCTTGAGAATGAGGAGAAAATGTTAAATAGGCATTTAGAAATACAGCTTTGAATACCTGATTAAGTCAGGTTGTAGATATATTCTTTACTGTTCAGATGGTATTTGAAACTTTTGGTTTCATTAGATAAATGTGTACAGCAATGTAGGCTTGTTTACAACACACTTTTTTATGCCTTACCCTCACCTAATGACTTGGACTCTCTGGAATTAATCCTAGGAATCTCAGTTGGTTTCCCAGGAAATTCTTATTTACTCTAAAATTTTACAGTCACTGGCTATAAAGTGAAAAAGAGTGTCAAGTACAGAACCCCAGGAAATATCAATATTAAAGGTAGCAATTCTGGAGGGTTATATACCAAATTATTTATGGTAGTGATCAAAAGATAATAAAATATGGAGTTTTAAATTTTCTTCTGATTAAATGATTATATCAAAAAATTTGAAGTTAACAGTCTATTTTAGTATAGATTAAAGATTTATAGTTAAAATAGACAGGTAAGCCTCAAAATGGCTGGACTATAGTAGCCATTTACCTTTCTCTTTTTAAAAATTATTTCTAAATCAGAAAAAAATTGTCTTTGGGACCAAGCAAAATGTTAAATAACAAATGTGCAATGAAAGGGTCCATATCTAGCTCAGCATGTGACAACTCCCAGAATGGCTATGCTAAATGTCAAGCTGAGTACTTTTCCTAAGTAAAATGAGTAATTCCTTCAAAACAAACCTTAAGAGGGGATAGTATAGTCTTGCGTTGACTCTAAAATTTTGCTTTGTGCATTTCATGGTGAGAAACAGCTTTTACATAAAATAAAGTGATAATACTAATAACACAACTGTCAAATATTTAATTAACCAGTAAAATGTTAAAACCAGGACTAGGAGTATGGATTACAATGCTCAACTCTGCTCAAATCAGTCACATTTCTAAAATCAGACAACCTATAGGTTGATTTAGTAGCTTGATTTTTAAGTAGAAATTTCCTATTTCTCCTCTGTGATTTATAGCCAGTTTATACTTCAATACAAAATATTATGAAGATACTGAGTACTGTACAGTAACCACTGCCCAAAGAACAACTCAGGCTTGTATAACAAACTATTTTGTTCTGTATTAAAATAATAAAATAGCCATCTTTTAACTCTGAAAAGCTTCAAAAGGCACCCATATGATTAGAAGCACGACATTTGTTTCATTACCATGAGCTCGAAGTAAAGCTTCAGCAGTAAACAGTGGAGCTTGGAGCATGTCTGCAGTTTCCACAATAAGCATATCCTTCAATCTACGAAGATCCTGAGGCCTTAATCCTTCATATGGCTTTGAAAAGAAGGAAAAAGAAGTTAAATTGTCTATTATACTCTTAGGAAGTTCAAAATGCCTATAAACAAATAAAAGATTATTATTTATTTCAGTTTCAGTTTGGTTATTTAAGTTCAAAAGGTTCTGTATGCTCCACCACTATTTCAAACTACTCTTTCCCAAGTCTTTTTAAACTGAAAAATGAATGCCAGGGCTCATGCACCTTATCATTTTAAAATAAAAGTATCATAATATAATGACAAGACCATTTTGAAAATGTGGATAATACAAAAAAGAATAAAAAAAAATACATCGAGCAATCATGATTAAAGTTCTCAAGTATTTTTTATCCAGTTTTGTTACAAATCAATTATAAATATAATAGAGGCCCGGTGCACAAAAATTTGTGCACTTGAGGGGGTCCCTCAGCCTGGCCTGTGCCCTCTCGCAGTCTGGGACTCCTTGGGGGATGACCACTTGCTGGTTTAGGTCCGCTTCCCAGGGGATCGGGCATAAGCTGGCAGTCAGACATCACTCTGGCAGTCTGGGAGCCCTCGGGGGATGTCCACTTGCCAGTGGGGAGCAGGCCTAAGCTGCAGTCGGAGCAGGCCTAAGCGCTGCTGAGGAGGCGGGAGAGGCTCCTACCACCACCGCTGTACTGGCAGCCATTAGCTTGGCTTGTGGCTGAGCAGAGTTCCCCCTGTGGGAGTGCACTGACCACCAGGGGGCAGCTCCTGCATTGAGCGTCTGCCCCCTGGTGGTCAGTGTGTGTCATAGTGACCAGTCATTCCCAGTCTTTCTGCTGTTAGGGTCAGTTTGCATATTACCCTTTTATTATATAGGATAGAGGTCTGGTGCCTGGGTGGGGGCCGGCTGGTTTGCCCTGAAGGGTGTCCGGATCAGGGTGGGGGTCCCGCTGGGGTGCCTGGCCAGCCTGGGTGAGGGTTGATGGGTGTTTGCAGCTGGTCACACCCCCTTCAGGGTGGGGGTCCCCACTGGGGTGCCTGGCCAGCCTGGGTGAAGGGCTGATGGCCGTTTTCAGGCTAGCCAAGCCCCTGGCGACAGAAGCTCCCAACCTTTCCTTTTTTTATTCTGGGATTTATTTACCTTCTATAATTGAAACTTTGTTGCCTTCTGTGGAGCTCAGAGCCGGCTCCTGCTCGCTCCAGCTCCATGGCCATGGCCGGCTGAAAGCAGGTATCTGGGTTTATTTACCTTCTATAATTGAAACTTTGTTGCTTTGAGTGGAGCTCAGAGCCGGCCGGGAAGCTTGGCTTCCTCCATCACTGGAGCAACCAAGCCTCCAGCTCGCTTCAGCTCCGTGGCTGCCGGCCGCCATCTTGGTTGGTTTAATTTGCATATAGTCGCTCTGATTGGCTGGTGGGCATGGCTTAAGGCATAGCGAAGGTATGGTCAATTTGCATGTTTGTCTTTTATTAGTGTAGATGTGTTAATTTAATCAGTTTTAATCACGAAATCACCAAACATTTACACTTATTAATATCCAATTTAGACTGCTAGTGGGATTATATAATACCTATTAATTAATTTGGAGAGAAGTAATTATGCTATACTATTCAGACTTTTTACCCATAAACATATTATTTCAATATGTTTATTTGAGTGTTCATTAATGTTCCTTAGTTTTCATATAGATGATATATCTCAAGTTTTTTGTTCTTTTGCTATCTTTCATCTTTTTTTTAAACAGAGAACATATAGCCCTAACCGGTTTGGCTCAGTGGATGGAGCGTCGGCCTGCGGACTCAAGGGTCCCAGGTTCGATTCCGGTCAAGGGCATGTACCTTGGTTGCGGGGACATCCCCAGTAGGGGGTGTGCAGGAGGCAGCTGGTCGATGTTTCTCTCTCATCGATGTTTCTAACTCTCTATCCCTCTCCCTTCCTCTCTGTAAAAAATCAATAAGATATATTTAAATAAATAAATAAATAGAGAACATATAAAGAATAAAATCACATGTCTTACTATTCAAACAATTGATAACATTTTTCTTACTTGTTTCAAGTCCCGTTAAAAACAAAATGAAACAAAAGAAGCAAAACCTCATAATCTGTGACATGTTTTCCTATTACATTTCCCTAATTTCCCTCATCCTTGCCTATGACAATCACTAACTATGAATTTGATTGATAGCTGTTATAATATTATGGCATAACATTATATATATATCACTCCAGTGGTCGGCAAACTCATTAGTCAACAGAGCCAAATATCAACAGTACTTCTTCAAAATAGACTCGCCCAGGCTGAAAACCGACTTCTGCGCATGGGCCACGAAGTTTCAATCGCACTGTACGCGTGCCTGCACGTGGTATTTTGTGGAAGAGCCACACTCAAGGGGCCAAAGAGCTGCATGTGGCTCGCGAGCCGCAGTTTGCCGACCACAGCACCAGGCAATCTGCTTAATTTTATTCAGTATTGTGTTTGCATTATTAATACTGATACACATATTTCAATCCTTTAAACAGTTTTAAGCTTGCTGCATGCAATATGCATAGAACTAAAGGCCATAGCTTAAAAAGCAGTATAAATTCCCAAGTACTTATCAGAATAACAACCATTGAGGATGTCCTCTGGTAGCATATATCACAGTCTTGAGAGCTTTGAGTGGTTAGCAAAACTCATCCATTGCAATTGGCTTACAGATATTTTGGAAATAGATATTGTCTTTATTTCTTGCTTTGTTTTTTTGGTACCATGTAAACCATTTCATCAATTCTCAGTTAACCCTGTATGACTGGGACTCTATAAACCAGGGATAATTTCTCAGTTGACATGTTTCTTTTCTTTTTTTTTTTAATTCTTTATTGTTGAAATATTACATATGACCCCTTTTTCCCCCATTGTCCTCTCCTAGCCCATCCCTGCCCCCCAGCCCAGGTCTTCTCCCCCGTTTCTTGCTCCTTAGATGTCTTCTGGCAGGAACACATATATAGCAATGCATGTATTAATGACAGAAAAGAGTAATAGACTTGACTGTATAAATATCTGCCAAGTTTTAAACATAAAAATTGTATTACTTTTAAATCTAGCAAAGTGTCCAGGGCTAATAAGAGACAATACTGAATATTGGAAAGGTTTCAGTGAGATTGCCCTCTGCTGCCCTGTGGGTAAAAATAAAAATTGGTATATCGTTTAACAACCAAGCATGTATTATGAATCTTTAAACCAATTATCTTTGACCCAAGTATTTTACTTGTAGAAATCTATCCTAAGGTATAACCATAAATATGGGGAAAATTATAGTCATTTGCAATGTTTGTTATAAAAGTGACAGAATGCAAGTAACCCAAATGTACATTAAAGAACATATAGGACATCTACAAGTTAGAATAGTCTGTAGTCATTCAAGATGATTGGCATGATGAGTTTGTAAATATCAAGAAAGATTAAGGGGATTGTTAAGGGCGGGGGGGAAAAAGGAGACATATATAATACTCTTTGTAATACTTTAAGCAATAAAACAATTAAAAAGAAAAAAAGAAAGAAAGATTAAGGGAATCTCTGCCTGGGTAGTTCAGTTGGTTACAGCATCGTCCCATATTTTGGGTTTGATCCCCACTCAGGGCACATATAAGAAGTAATCAATGAATGCATAAATAAGTGGAACAACAAATTGATGTTTCTTTCTCTCTCTCTCCCCCCTCTACCCCCTCAAATCAATAATAATAATAAAAAAATAGAAGTGCTAAGGAGGGAAAAACTTTAAGATATAAAATACCATTCCAGTGATGAAAAATGGAAGACAATCCTGCACCATGTTACAAGGATTATTTCTAAGTGGTAGAACAATAAACATTTCATTCTGCTTTTTATACAGAACATGTTTTGTAGGAAAAAATTAATTAAAAAATAAAAGATAAATCACTGGAGATGTTAGAGTTTTCAACAGTGGCAGAGCACACACTCAGTCTGCAGTGCTATTCATTTTTAAAAAATATATATTTTATTGATTTTTTACAGAGAGGAAGGGAGAGGGATAGAGAGTTAGAAACATGGATGAGAGAGAAACATCAATCAGCTGCCTCCTTCCTGCACACCCCCTAATGGGGATGTGCCCGCAACCAAGGTACATGCCCTTGGCCAGAATCGAACCTGGGACCATTCAGTCCGCAGGCCAACACTCTATCCACTGAGCCAAACCGGTTAGGGCATTTTAAAAATAGTGAAAACTTATGTTAAATGCATTTCGTATGACCCTGCATTAAGAGCCTACTGCACCTATGTATGTGTTCACGAATACTGCCATGAGCCTCTACATATACAAATCCTATATAATACAGACGTAATATGTAAATTAACCCTCACACCATCACAAGATGGCTGTGCCCACAGCAGAGGCGGGGTTGCTATAACACAAGATGGCTGGGCCCACAGTGGAGGTGGGGTTCCCATAACGAGTCTTAACGAGCGATCAGAAGGGACCTCAGGCTGCACCCCCCACCCAGTGGGACTTGACGGGGGACCTCAGGCCATCATGCCACCTGCCATGGCACTGGGCCGGGGGATCTCAGGCTGGCCCCCCGCCCAGCAGGGCTTGACGGGGGACCTCAGGCTGCGCCCCCAGCCCTGGACCAGGGGACCTCAGGCCACGTTCCCTGCGCAGGTGAACCTCAGGCTGCACCCCCCACCCAGCTGGGCTTGACAGGGGACCTCAAAGCATGCTCCCCGCCCCAGCCCAGGCCGGGGGACCTCAGGCCGCGCCCCCCCCTCCCCAGCGCCAGGCTGGGGGACCTCAGGCTGCGCCCCCCACCCTGGTGTTGGGCCAGGGGACCTGAGGCCATGCCCCACGCCACGGCACTGGGCCAGGGGTCCTGAGGGTGTGCCGGGGGTCCTGAGGCTGCATCCCCCGCCTGGTAGGGTTTGATGGGGGCCCTGAGGCTGCAACCCCCCAACCCAGCGCTGGGCCAGGGGACTTGAAGCTGTGCCCCCCGCCCGGCGGCTTGACGGGGGTGGGGCCAGCCGGGTCTGGATCTCACCCAATGGGGGTGGGGCCAGC